AAAAACAACAATATCAATATATCTCTTTCAAATCAACACTCGTAAATAAATATTGCATATTAATATAAATAACACGTAATTTGCATGGACGGTAAATTCATATAAAAAATTATAACAAGCTGTCGTTATATGTATGTTGAATTAAAATTTTTTATTTGTCAATTTAAAAAAGTTGCTTACTATTTCATTTATTTTGTAAAAAAAATATTCTCTAAATTCTAGAAATTGACACTCTTAAATTTAAATCGTTTGTTCATTTGTTTATCTGGTAAACATTCAGATCCTTTTGAGAGTATTTCATCATAATTTAAATCCATAGTAGTGTTAAATTTGGCGGTTTGAGATGAAGCGTTAGTATTATTGATGAAGTTGTCATCATTAATGGGAAGAGGATTAAAAGTAGAATACGAAAGAAAAGAAGTGGAAGGATTAAAAAAAGTGAAAGATAATGAGCTTGGATTATCGCTTATAAAAGAAGAAAAAGAAGGGTATGGATAAGGTAGTGTTGAAACCGTGCAATTGTTATTATTGCTATCATCTTTTTCTTTTTGTTGTGGTTCTTGTTGTTGATGAGACAAGCTTGAATTATAGTTTGTATATAAGTAATGTGATGATGAATCTATATAATCTGCATTATTATCATATATTTGTATTTGTTGTGGCTCTAGTTGTCGATAAGACGAGCTTAAATTATCATCCGTACAAGGAAAATAGGAAGTGGAAGGTGGTGGAAGAAAGGGAGTGGAAAATAATGAAATTGTGTTATTATTGCAATTTTCTTTTTGTTCTTTTTGTGCTTCTTGTTCTTGAGAAATAAATAAATAATTCTTTGGTACTTGAATGATACTTTCATAAACCGACTTGTGTTTTTCATAAACTAAATTGTGTTTTTCAAAAGCCAGCTTTGCTAATATTTTAAAGTAACGTTTTACTTCGTCCGATTCATTCTTCCAGGCATAACCAGCTTCCTTTGAAAGAGTTTTCCAATCCTTTTTACTCTCAAGAGATTTATGTTTTGCAGCATAATTTTTGCGGTATAAGAGAAAAGCGTTTTGGGTTTTTGGAATGTCAATAGAATCAACATTATTGGGATTGGGCGAAATGAGTTGAATCATTCGCGCGTGTAGTTTACAAGGAGGATTGAAGAGAAGGCTAATCTGATCATTGTCAAGTCGTGCTTTATCAATATATAATAATATTTCAGGATTCATATGTGTATTATTGAAAAATGGTTTATTGTTATTAATAATATATACAAAACAAAAATATTACTATTATTATTAAAATAACCTTTTAATTTATTATTATTATTGAAAAAGGGATTTGACGTATTATTATATAGGCCAAATTTGCCATAGTTTAATAAAACCATTTATTTGAAGAAAAACTAAGTTTAGATGGCTGTACCTGACAGAATATTCATTATTGTGGCTTAAAAGATGTTGTAATTTATTTATATTTATTTAAATTATGGAGACTTTTGAAACCGGTTGTTCATGTGAACAATTCTAGATCTAGTCGGGTTGGTAAAATATTCTGTTTGCCATATTAAGTCAATTTTTCTATATTCAGTCAAATCTTAAACTTGCGTCGAATATTCTATCAACATTATTGTATTAACTCGTAATTGATTACTATGTCACTCTAATTATAATTAACTATAAATAATTTCGTTGTGAATGTATAAAGTGGGAAGAGTAGAGCTAAAAATTGGTGGGTTTATTTGGACGAAAAAAAAAATTTAAAATATGGAACGTTGAATTAAAAGAAAATGATGTATCTTTTTTTTTATCGTCTTTTGAAATTATCACGTTATTTGTTAAATGTTCGGCGAGTGTGGACGATACCCAAATTAGAATCTATAGATATCGAATTTTGCATTTATTAATATTAATATTAATCGATCATTTATTTCGCATTTATTTCTCCATTTTTTAAATGAGTGGATAATAAGTAATATTTGTTACACTAAAAAATTATTGAATGCGTGTTTTTGGTAACTCATAGATTAAAACTAAGAACTTTCTATCCAGTCAAATAAAAATTAGGCAACCTTAAAATAAATAAGGAAATAAATATTGAATGAATACCGATCTATAAAAATAGAGTTATTTTGACTATATAGATCTACTACAATCCATCGTTGAGTTTAAAAATATGTATTTTTGTGTTTTTATGTTTTACATATAAAATTTCCAAATTTGAATTTTAAAAACTAATGGTGATATGAGATTTATCAGGTTAGCCAGTTAATAAATTTTTAAATGACTTGGCCGGCTAAGATGATAAAAAAAACTTCTCTTACATTCTTTTTTACGTCTAGAATTTTAGTGCAGAATTCAGTGGCATAGACACATAGTTGATCTGCATGATAAGAAAAAAAATGCAATATTCGTAGCAGGTAAAAGATAATAATAATAAAGAAGGCAATAGCAATAATAATAGTTTTTTTTTCGTAATACAAATTCTTATTTGAATTATTCGTAATACAACTCAAGTTTAATTATCCGCTTTATTCGGATTAC